TATTTCTAGGCGTAAAGGCTACGTCTGGTGCTCTTATTGTTTTTCACCTGCTATTAAAGTTGAAACCTCCTTGCGATGTAGTGATAGCACCATTTTGGTATGTTTGTTTATTCCAGCGGTGAAGTAGGCCAACAATTGTTGCAATGACAACTTCTACAAAGATTGTGGCCAGCGGCATAGGAATTAATTTTCCAGAATTATCAAATTCAAAAAGATCAATGGGTTGTCCTTTAATTTCCAAAGGAGCACATGTCTTTAGCTTTTCGTTTAATATTTCGAACTCCTGGAATGTATAATGGTGGTTAAGGTCCAGATCTTCGAGTTATAATTTTTGGTCAACTTCAGACATTTTGAAAAATTGAATATTAACTTCTTTTTGAAAAATTGAATGTTACTTATTTTTTGATTATTTAAAATTAGATAATCTCATTACACAAAGATTTGATACCTCGTAAATGATCTACAATAAGGGAAAATCTTTTAGTGATACTATAGCCAATACAAGTGTATAAGAAATAAAAACGGCCTAAAAAAATAAAAAGCCTTAATACATCAATGAAATTAAAAAGTTGATCACATCCCCCTTATTTGGTAATATCTGAGACTGTAATGTGCCGAAAATAATAATAGGTTGCAATAAATACATATAAATTATTAATTGACTAAATTTACAATTTAAAGTATCTCTATTAATTACAGTATTTAAAATTATCAACATACAAAATCAATAGGGTAGATTGAAGAAGAGTTAACTCAGTGATCATCACAATATCACATGACAATCATCGGCCTAGATTAGGGTTAGTTTAGAATTATAGTAAGGGTATAGTTTAGGCCAATTTATTTAATTCTGGTAAACAAATGACGTCATGATGTGTTTATCATGTGATCGTCGATCACTGAGTTAACGGTTCTTCAAGTGTCCCAATCAATATATAATCAAAAAAAAATTTAAGTGCTAGTTCGCGAGTGAGCGACAGTAATTTTATAGTAAAATTTGGTGAAAATTTAATATAAATCTTAGTTTATTTAATTCATTTTATTTTCAATTCAATTTTTTTCAAATTAATCTAAATTCGTTCAGTGTTTTTTTTACTCAGTTTAACCGGTTTAACCGGCTTGTTTTTTTATATTGAATTAAATTTTCAATCAATCTATAAATTGTTATTTTGAAAAAATATGTGGGAATAGAGATACGATCCGTTATCCGTTTTCTATTTAAAATTTAGCGGATATCCGGATTACTTATAATAAAATTTGTTATAACATTGAACTGGCGGATATCCGGATCGCATCTCTACGTGGGAATTCCTCCTTTGACAGTGGGAATTTAAAGTTCTATTGCGTTTTCTGATTTTGAAAAATTGAACACAAATATCTATGCTCTATATACTTTTCGATTTGAAGATAACTTATTTTATTCAAAATCAGAAGCCCAATAAATAATTCTGAAACCACATCATCTCTTCTTATTTATTGATTCAATTTTTTTTTACTTGATCAGCTTTGAACTGATATAGGTTATTTCATTTATTCATTTTTTTATCCCTTATTTATTCGGTACGTTTTTTTTTATTCGATTCACTTTTCCTTCGATATTTATATTTTTTTTGACAATTTTACAATTAGACTGGCCAGTTTAAAATCGATTATGTTTTAAATAAAGTTCAATTATCTCTTTTTATTTTATTGGAATTTTTTAAATATGATTTCTGTTGATTGAGATTTACTTAACTCATCCACTAAATTCTCTTATTGAAGTTTCGATAAACAGACGTGCCAGATCTTCATTTTGGGCGGCAATTCAGCTTTTAAAATTTATAAATAATTTAAAAAAATGTATTTATGCGAGATTAACTATCTAGTTATTTTCCTGTATTTGAAAGTATTCTTAACATCAAAAAAAATTATATAGTAACAATTATAATATATAAAAAAATTAAATGCTTAGTCCCTAATTATAGAAGGCAGTGTAAAAATCGAAAGCTAATATCTGTCAGACTCGAATGCGTCAACTTCTCGGTACCTTCGAAATTGCTTATGAAATGCAAAATTTAACTTCTGTTGAAGAATGTATTAGCGGATCCACCAAAATTCATCAAATTCCGGGTTGGAATTAGTAATGGCAATTTTGCGGATTTTTCAACATCTTGCATCAAGGCGTGATAAGAGTGTGATTCGTGGAATAAGGGTAAATAATCAACAGGGTTTTCAAATCATCTTTAAATATTATATTAAATGTAAATTACATTATTACCATCAAATTCTATAAGAACCTTCCTGAATAAGGCTCTGAATTAGTTATGCTGACATACCATTTTAACGTTATTATGTGTAGTAGCTTATGCTGAGATTCGGGTCCTTATTTAAATCTATAATATCTGATAAAATCTACATATACCTTTTTATTAATAGTGCTAACTATTAACCCTAACCTAACTGTGAATAAAAAGACTACAAAAAATCCCCAAAACATTTTGTAATCTCATAATAAAATAGGTCAAATTCTCAGCACAAGCCTATCTTAGCATAAGCTGCCACATGTGTATTTATATTAGAAAATTACTACGTACTTCCACTGGTATTCGCTACCAGTTATAAGTTTTGTTAAAATTTAGGGTTAGGT